ATTGACTTCCACGGGAGGTTGGGGTTGGCGAGGGGGGGAAATTTGTTTCGTCTTTGACGATGATCATCTCATTTTTTATTTATGCCTCAGGTACCCCCCGCGATAACACCAGCAGCTCCCGTTGGAGGAGGGATGCCATGTTGTTATAAAATATGTCTGCTGTATGACCTATGAGCAGTTATGCGTATCTGTTTTTGAATCGTGTTTTGGATAGATTATAGTAGGCTGTGTTCGGCGACGGTATGGTGTCTGCTACATAGATATGCTCCGAAAATGAATTTTTTTTCGGCCTAAGAAAGATGTGGTTGGGGGGACGGGGTGTGCGCCTTCATAAGAAAAACATATAAAACACACACACACACACCGGTACGTTCACACACACACACACACACACACACACATACCCACACACACACACACACACACACACACACACACACACACACACACACACACACACACACACACACACACACACACACACACACGTACACACACACAAACACTCACGTACACACATACACACTCATACACACCTACACAAACACACACACACACACACACACACACACACACACACACACACACACACACACACACACACACACACACTGTTGTGCTTCTTTCAGTTCACTATTGGCCGAGAAAAATGATGATTTGCCAACATTAAACTGTTTTCATTAATACATTTGATTATTTTTTTAAATTGTTGCTTTCCTGACTGTTTTTTTTTTCCATTGCTTATTATCCTGACTTAAAAACGAACGAATATGTATTCATATTGTAAAATACACTAAAACTCTTTTGGGTTCTCCTTTGGACACAGCGGTAATTGTTTATTATGAATTATTTTAGCAACAATTATTGCTCTTATAGTACAAAGAGCTACGACGACACATGAAACTGTCTCTGAAGGACTTCAGCGTCAATTTCTCGACATGGGTGAAAATAGACTTAACCAACGCATCTTAAATAATCAATACCATGTTTTGTTATGTGACAGGGCTTTCTGTCAAAATAAACGATAGGGTACTGTGGTAAACCTGACGCGTATTGCAATCTCACCAGAATCCCAGAAAAGCGTAGTACAATAGAATATCAGGGTACAAGGCAAGAGGAAGACCAAGGAAGACCTGGATCGAGCCTTGACACCCTGAAGACACACAACATCCCACCCAGACAGGCCATCCTGCTTGCCAGAGAGAGAAAGCTCTTTCTACCCTCGACGCTCTAGAGGTACAAGAGGAAGGATGAAAGAAAGAAAGACTGTGACAAAGAGAGGAAAGTTTAAAATGCTACCTGAAGTCCACGTGCCCGTCTCCGTCCGTGTCTAGAAACTTCAACAACATCTTGAGAGAATCTTCACTCAACGGGATGTTCACTCGCTGAAAAAAAAAGTGTATTTTCTTACCTCAAAGAAAAGTCCAGCTGCCACAATAATATGATGTTTATTACGACAACTTGAAAACGTTCAATTTCAGGAGTGTCTCAAACTTGATCTCCCCCCCCCCCCACCCCACACCCCCACCCCCACCCTCTTGCCCTTTCAGTTGTGCAATAAACAGTTCTCATGTTTTGTTTTATTGTTGCTTTTGTTTGTTGTTGTATTGTTTTTTAATCCAGCGTCAGTGTTATCTCTCTTTCAGTCTCTCTCTGTCTCTCTCTGTGTTTGCTATCTATCTATCTATCTATCTATCTATCTATCTATCTATCTATCTATCTATCTATCTTATCCATCTATCCATCCATCCATCCATCCATCCATCCATCCATCCATCAACCCATCCATCAACCCATCCATCAACCCATCCATCTCACCTTCAACCCGTCTATAAACTCGTCATAACTCAGAGAGCGACTGTTGTCTGTGTCTATCGTGTTGAACATATCCACCAGCCTGAGGTTCTGCAGCCGGCAGAACTCCATCAGCACTATCAGGGGGTTCTCACCCATCATCGCGTCCAGTTCCGCCTCTGCCTGGAACAAAAAAGAGATCATGAGCGTCTGAAAAACATCAGTAAGAAGGAGCCAAGGAGTAGCAGTAGAAAGGCTGCAAAAGGAGTCAGGAGTCCAGAGGAGGGGGCAAAGGAGGTGAGGGGGTAGGGGCAGAAATTGGAGACAAAAGCAGACGACAGAACATTGCTAGAGAGAAGGAAAGGAGGTGACAGGAGACAATTTTTTAGAGAAGAAATGTTTCCGTCGCTACCCGGATTCGAACCCGGGACCTTTGGATGAGAAGCAAACACCTAATTAATATCTAGGCCACGAGAGCCCCCTGAGATTTGAAATAATAAGAAGAATGATTGTGAAGCAGCGTGGTGAAATCAGACTGTTGTCAAAATAACCAAAATGAAGACACTGGCCTTTCCCGAATGTTGGGCTATTTCATTGATTTTTTTTGGTTGTATTTTTGTCTCCAATCCTTCATGCTCATTAAAGAAAACTTTGCTGGGTGGATTTTACTGAAAAACGTTGAATGAAGGTGCACAAAATGTTAATTTTCAGTTTCCATGGACTCTGAGGCTTTGTAAACAGCCAAACTTTGACGACCATTTTCTCGCTAATAATTTTACCTTTGAAACCAGGTGACCCCTCCTCATTCAATCGCAAATATCTCGATATATATACTCAAGATAAATATGTAATTCTTTCAAAGAAAGCAAGGAAAATGAAAAGGCTTTAAAGTGATACCAATACCTCCACCTGCCCAAAATTTTGAGTTATTGGTATCTCTGAAAGCTGATTCATTTGCCTTGCTTCTAATGAAGAACATTTACATCTATTTTGAATAAAACTCAAGATATCTTCTATTGAAGGAAGTGAGGTCACCTGGTTTCAGTGGGGAAGTTAGCCAGAAGATGGCAGCCAAAGTTTGGTAACTCCAATAGCTAAAGTCTTTGAAGACTGAAAAATGACATTTTGTACTTTTAATAAACATATTTTAGTAGAATTCACGTGGAAATGCGTTTCTGTATGGACATAAAAGGTGTTGAGCCAAAAAAAATTAAAAATCGATAAAAGTTGATAAACTGGTGGGAAGAGGCTGTTTCTTCCATTTCATTATTTTGACAAGCGCCTGATTTCACAACGATGCCTCTCACATAATATTATTCTGATTGAATGAAGAAAGACCAAGACGTACCTTCTCGGCAGCTGCGGCGTCCAATGATAGTCCGGGGCGAAGGATGGGTCCGTAGATGACTGTCAGATCCTTCACCGCCTGCAGCTCGAGGAGGAGGGTCTTGAACTCTTCGTGCACACACTGGTCCTGGATGGAGAGAGTTGGTGGAGGGGGG